CCGCATTTGTCCTGCATGACATCGCCAGTACCTTGCCCATGCTCAGAGAGGTGGATCACTGGTCAGATGAGGGACAAAGTCCTTGCTCACTACTGGAAAGTTTGTTGTATCTTGAGAGAACGGCTGGTCCAGCTTTTACAGAATAGGATTGAATAGGACATTTTGGGTTGGAAGGGACCTATAACCATCATGTAGTCCAACTACCTGACCACTCCAGGGCTGATCAAAAGTTAAAGCATGTGATTAAGGGCATTGTCTTAAATGCCTCAAATACCGTCAGGCACTTTGGGGCACCATTCAGCTTCACTGTCTTTGCTCTGAGCCGATGAAAAGGTGGAGTCTGGTCAACACAAGACTAAGCACACAAGTAAGAAGGACAGATTCTCCAAGATTTTAGTTACCAGAATCAGAGCTGTCTCCAGTATTTTTGTGCAGATACAAGTTTTTGAAGGGATAAATCTAAACTTGTTTAGAGAACTAAGCAACCCTGACTTTTCTAACCAGTTTAATTTTTTTATATATAATTACCGACAACCACTGCCCAGAAAAGCAGAGGCCCCATCTACTTTCAGGAGGGAGATGAAAAATGTTATTGTCAGGTATTTGGGTTTTTTTTCACTCAAATTTTAAATCTATGCTGACAGACCAGAGAGCACATCACCCATGCTGAAAGCAGTCACCTCCCCAGGACACCTTCACCAGCGGGAAAGCAGGTGACAGAGGAAAAGCCACATGCTGCTCATTCAAACCATTTTGTATTCTGAAGCATCCATATTGATTCTTCGATTCTTGTTCTGATTCATCCTCAAAACCCCACTAAAACAGATACATTATAAGAGACTGTGGTAGACAGTTGTCACCTTTAAGTATCTGAAATGGCAGAGAATCGATAACTTGCAACAACCTCCCTGTTCCGCCTCACCAACAGGTGCTGGGCTTCAACTGCACTTCTCTTGTGAATTATGTTGTCTGTCCATCTGTTACTGCCCCAAGTTCACCCCTGTCTACACTGCTGAGGTATGAGATAATCCTTTGCCAGAAGACAGCCTGTTGTCTGATGACATTTAAATGTAGAGAAAATGTCCCCTGGTTTATTGTTAGACAATAAAGTTGGACGCAGTGTCTCAGATCAACTGCAAACAGCTTAACTGGTAAAGTTGTGTGTAAAGCTGATTTAGTGAGTGCGTGTTTGCCTAAGCTCTGATCTTATGCTGGTACATATTTAATTTTAAATCTGCCAGGCAATACCTGTTCCTGCTTGATCTGCTTACTAATTCACCATCTGTACATTGTTTTCATTAAATACATCTTTTCCATAAAAAAAAAACAAAAAACAAAAAAACAACAGCAAATCCTAACAACTCACATATATATAGTGGCTATAAAATTTCATTACCGTGCTGAGGTTTTAATTGTGCAATGCAAATTAAATTAAAAAAACCTTGCAATGCAGCCATATCAAGAACAGATTTAGCAAAAAGCAAACTCCCCCATCTAAGAAGTTTTAATTTAGAATTATATTAAAATGATAACACTGCCAAGCAGGTTAAATAATTAATTTCTTCTCATTTTAATTGTAGACTATTATTTAATAAACAAAGTAATTTAACAGGTAATTTATTCTACTTCTTCATAGGCAGCTTATTTGAAGTCTAAAAATAAATGCTAATTAAAACAGGATTCACTGTTTTAGAAAGCAACTCATTTTCCTGTAAAATCTAACAAGGACTGTGCTAGAGCATCGACTGAGAAACTCTGAAGGGCAAGGAAGCCACCAGCAACAATGAAAAATGCTGATAACTGAGAGGGCATTCATACAAACAATTCATGAAACACAAAGATTTATCACAAAACCCATTATGAGATCTTTATAAGGAAATCTTGCCAAACACTTAGTGTCCAAAAGCTAAACACCCAGATCAAAGGAATGGATGGGCCCTGAAAAGCCACCAACTACAGCAGTTATTTGCACAACCTTGTCAGTACACTGAGGTTGCTTAAAGGAAGTAAATTTGATATTATGTAGCAATTCCACCTACAGCCATACAATGTGGGGACCTTGGACTTCCAACTTTGAGGGCAAAAGCCCAGAAAGAATTATTCCAGCTAAAGAGAACTTCCATCTCCAAATCTGCTCATGAGGATCCCATTCCCCAACACCAGTGTCAGTGGCACCCCAAGTCCAAAGCTCATTGAGATGAAAGCCCTAAAAATTACTAGACTGACATGAACTACAACTACTGCAGGCTTCTAGGCCCCTGCTCTAGTTTTTCCCCAAATGTTGACTCTTTCTTTAGGGCTTACCAGGCTGACAAGCTGTCGGGCAGCGAGTCCACTCGCTGAAAGATGTAACCAGGCAGTCCTTCTTGCAGGGGAGGAGACATGGCCTCACAGCCTCAGGTTTGATGGACTCTGGACATCTATCAATCCAAACACAAAGATAAAAATAGAATAAAACATTCAAACTACAGGGCAACATCTTACTCCTAGGACTCTCACAAGGCTGTTCGCCATACCAAAGGTATCACTCCTGGTCATAGCAAGCTTCATTTTTATTCTCCTTTGCACTCACATAACCTAACTGAATTGAGTACACTTCAAATAATAATTATTATTATTATGATGATTATACTAATAATTAAAAATAATAATAGATTACTACAGACTAAATGTAACTGGCTATGACACCTAAAATACAAAACTTATTAAAGCAAAACTGATAAATTTATTACTGAGGAAAGCAAGCAGTACTGTTTATGAAGTAATGTTTTAAGACAACATGCAACAGACTTCAAAACACTTGCAACCATGTGTAGGGACTGATGTGATGCTCCTCTACTTTCAAACCCTAAGAAACATAAATAGCTGAAAGTGATCTTTGAGATCTCAATGGCTATTTAAAAAGGTGTACAACATAGTCTAGTAAGAAGAGCTCTGATTATTTATTCATTCATTTTTAACTCTTAAATGGAAAATCTCATGCATATTCTCATAAAGTTTCAAACACAGCTAACAGATAAAACCTTGAAGAGTGGAAAATGACCATTTTCTGGGATCAATCAGGCAGATCGTGCATTTCAAGTAGGGGGAACAGAAAAGGAAATACTCTTTTTAATTTTTATTAGTTTCTAGTGGAAAGATCCCTCAAAAATACTTAGTAACGCATGCAAACCAAAATGATCCCATGTGAAAGAAGATTTTGCCTCTAAGCCCTACTAAGAATTAAAATAAATCTTAAAGTCATGATCCTGTTACTGAGATAGTAATCAGATGCTTAGAGGTATAAAATAAAATAAATACAAAGAGACACATATTTTCATTAAGCATGAATATCCTAGAGAGCTGATTTCTGTAATCTAAGAGGAGGCATTGAAAGATTTTTCTGCAAAAAGTTTAGTTTTATTTGGCTTTCTATGCCTTTCACCTTCCTTGGATATGGTGTCATTTTTCTTCATGAACTCAGGAAAAATGCAGGACACAAAAAAAAAAAAAAAAAACAAAACCAAAACATTATGCCAACACACAAAGTTTATTTTTCAAATGGTTCATCCCATTTCTGAAGCCACATTAACAGCAGTTCTAAACCAAACATTACTTTCAGTCAGTTTCCATCAGCTCAAACACAAAATACAACATCTCCAGTACACATGGAGAGGCAGGCAGCCCTTCACCCAGCACCAAACTTGTCCTCACCATCTTGGTCATTTACAAGGTACTATTTAAGTCCAAAACATGGAGGTTTTATTCCATCACTTCTTTTGGCAGGGTTTTTTCAGCACTGAATTCTGTTTTCCTTTCACGTACTTCACTTAAGTATTTACTTACCCCCTTCAGTTCCATTTGCCTTTACACAATCTCAGAAGAACTATTTTAGACATGATCTAGCTCTACAAACAATATGTTCAATTAGGTAAAGTTGCAGCATATTCTAGATATAAATGAATACTAAATTTCTTTCCTTTTATTTAATTAATCTCATTAACCTCCAGAATTTTAATTAACTTCACTGAAGTTAAAACACTCTACTTATATGAACAGGATTTTTTCAAGAACTACAATAAGAAATAAAACTTGGCTGTAAGTCTCTAGACTCATTAAGGGTGCAAAAAACTAATTAGAAATGTCTTGATTTTTTGGTAGGAGGGAAAACATCTGTGCTACTTATTTTCCTCCTATTTAGTAAAGCAAAGCAAAATTCAGAATATTTGTACTGTAGAATACCTAATGTTGTCATGTTGGTATCACTTATAGAAGCTACATAAATCAACTGAACAACACAGATCACACAGATGGTTCTGCCTTATTGTGGCGCAAATATAATACAAACTAGTTTTTCTGTTTTATTAGAGCACTGTTAATAATGAAGGTTATATTCAGACATACTTTGCATTTTCCCCACACCTGTCCTTCAGGAAAAATATCTGCAGAAACCTGTAAATTAGAACAACAGAGGAACTACCACAAAACATCTGCAGCAGTAACAAAAACATGCATTTTTCTTGGATATATAAAGAAAAGTAAAAATTGGCTAGCTATTTATTTTTGGTACATATTAGTAACCATTTCATAGCAGGGATGGAGTAGTAGCTGGAGAATTAGTCCTGAAATGCAGTTATTTTCACAGCTGCAGATTCCCTATGCTAGCTGAAAATGCTTTCATACATAATGTAAAGCAGCTACAAATAATGCCTAATAACTTGGTTTAAATACCTTTTAGGTGTGACCTGGCCAGAGCTGCTCTTCACACAGAAGACTTTCCTTGTCTGTATGCCCACTCCACAAGTGTTTTCTCCACTCCAATTCACAGATGCATTGAGAGCAGTTACCAGCACGTCTTCAGAGCAGGAGCTCCAGGGAGAAGCTTCCCAGAAGAAATGCACACATGGGTGATTGTTACAGGCACGATGCTCCTGCAGGGCTCGGTCAGGGGGACAGGCTTTTCCACCTGGAATTTGTCAAAAGAAAACCACATTTTATCTTATGGCATGTAGCAAAAGGAAGATATGGAAAAGCAAATAATAATGTTAGGTTTGCTGAATATCTTTTTTGTTCCTGTTTTAAAATAAATAAATAAAGCTGTTGACCTTCATGGATGCAATAACCACCTTCTAAAATATTGTCTCCCCATTAAACTAGCCTTGCATAAAATTGTATTCCAACACATAATGGAAACAGAAATAGGCAAAGCATATTTCCCAGTTACCTTATTGATACTCCTATACGCAGCCAAGCTAATTCCATTTAAATGCCAGTATCACTCAGAAAACATGCAATTAGCTGTAAAGACAAATTAAGCATTATTTTTAAGTCCATTCTCCTTGCTAATTTCCCAAGGAGGAACATCCCTCTCTAATATTTGGGCTCTGTTCACCTGTTGACTTAAAGAGCTGAGCTGTGGAGGGTGCTGCACTGGACTGAGTCAACTGATGCCCACATCTGCAATTCAAGGGGGGAAAACCTGAAAGATAAGTTTTGAGTATGAAGTCTTCACTTTTTTTAAGCAGCATCCTTTAAATTGGTGTCCGAAGACTTTGCTAAGCTACTGCTCCTTGTCAACAACTCATAACAAATCCGCAAAGTACAGGGCTTTGAGCAGCCTCCCCAGAAGCTTTAACACTCTCGTTAGCAGCCTGAATTTATCCCATGAAAGCAACAGAGGTTTGTAGCTCAAAAGCTAAAGAGTAATGCAGTGAATTGTGACAGTAAGCACTGCCAGGTTAGGAAGAACAAAGTAAAAATGACTAAAATCAAAACCATCCTCTTGCAGGACAGAGAATGTGGCAGCTTGTGACACAGCTGAAGCACTGCAGGTTTTGAAAGAACTGAAGTGCTGGGGCCAGATACCACAAGTCTCAGAGCACCTACTGAAATCAACAGATGAAGGTATATTCCTCCTGGAATGGATGTCTGTCACCCCACTGGACACTTTTCTCAAAGAAGATATGACCCCAAATGGCCACAATGAAGAGTACTGAGAGAAGAAAGAGACTGCTAGAAATTTCTCAACACACTGATTTGGATAATCATGCCACATTAGCATTTGTCTTTTCATGAAATTGACTGTTCCACACAGTGTTCAAGCTCTTTCCTGAAGATTTAGACTTCGCAAGAAAAATGCAGACCAGTTACTGCTCTTGTGTGTTCAAGCCCATGTTAAAAAATAAAATAATGTAGCATGGCAAAATTCCTGGTCCAGCAGGAAAACATAAAAAGAGAAGATCTAGCTGAAATGTTGAGCTTCCCAAGGGAAAATTAAGGTGTTTTTTTCCAGAATACACAGAGTAAGGAAGCACTCCTAAACAAGGGAGAGTAATAATGAGGCAGTTTTAATTTAAGAACATAAGAACACAAGAACACAGGCTGTCTGCAAATCTGAAAGCAGGAGGTGCTGTCTAGGAAAGGCAAGATCCTGGCCACTTTCTGCAGTTCATTGACAACTTCCGTACAAGGCAAGGAAGACAGCCCACTGCTGCCTAGGTACTCTAGTAGCTATTTACAGACTTTTTATGGACCAGTTGTTCATCAGTTCCTCTAATCCATTCTAAAGCTGCTGACACTGCCTTCCTCTACAACCTCGTCTTACACCAGTTCTCACAAGTGTGGTGTGTAAATAAATACATTTTGAAACCTGATTTAAACCAAGCCACTCTAGTTTCATCAACAGCCTCCTGGTTATCACATCCTGGGATGTAGTGGACAGCTTGGAGAAAACAACCCTAGAGTTTGAACTAAAGTCAGCCTGTGGGATGGAACCCAGAAGCCCTCAGATGGCAAAGCCACAGCTAACATTGCCTTAGTTGAGAGAGAACAAATGAAACACCACTTGCAAAGGTACCAGATGTCTGTAGAAGTTGGTGGCTCAGCTGTGAGTTGAGTATGAAAGAGTCAGAGAAAGTCATTGCCTTAGTGCAGTGATAACAATATTAAATCCATTCCTCACAAATTCTAATCAATCACTATTTATCTGTCTGCACTCGTGTGACTCTGCATAGCAAATCATTACAACCATTGCTGAAGATGTATAGAAGAAGCTGGGGCATTGATTCTAATAGTTAACAATTCCTTTCTGAGAAACTTAAGAGCATTCAGGTCAAAGCATGTAATTTTTAGCGTAGCGTGTTTCAGGCGGAGGTGACTGAGCTTATGTACTTCCAGATTTCACTTCTTCAACACTTCACTTTCATAACTGCATGTTTATCTGTTATTTGCATTTCAGTATTTCCAAAGAAAATATTAGGTCAACCATATTTTTCATTTTAACTATTGTCTAGCTCATAGACATTTTTAGTAGTAGTCGTTATCATTCAATCAACAATTATATAGCAGTTCTCGTCCTGAAGGGTCGCAATTTTCTTTGCAAGTGCTCATAAGGATGTTTATGTGAACCCAGACCATTCAGGAGAGTAAGGGTTTGCAAGATCAAGTCCTTACATTACCCCAGAAACAGTGGGTGGCTTTAATGATAATTTACAAAACAGCACTTAACAGAGCTTATCTGAGATTAGATTTGCATCTGGAAGTGTTTTGCTGCTGCATTAGCTGCACATAGTGCTGACAATAGTAGGCTTTTTTGTTGTGCCAACAAGGCTTTAGTCTGTTAGATCTATTCACATCCTATGATTTTTTCATAGACTTCATGTGATACCTTTCAAACCCTGTGTGCTAAACCAACATGTTGATAAATTATCATAACCGTAGTTAGACTACACTTCAAATATGAAATATTTTGTGTAAATAACTGCATCACTGACATTGATAGGTAGAAATCCAGATAGATGATGTGTCCATGAAGATTCAGAGGAAATTACATATGTATTTATCAAGAGCTATTTACTTACTAAAAAAAAAAACCAGGAAGGTCAGTACAGTCTAGGTCTGCATTAATAAAAATAAACAGGTTGTTTTCTACTTCCTTATTTTTCACAGCTCGCTCTTCTAGATTGGTACTAGTGTGTTCCCAAATAAAGACACCTGTGTGACAATTTGTGCCATGCAGCAATTTCATTAGTATAGGATGTAGCGCTCCTCAAGTAAATGCACACCCAGACTGGCCCTCAGTAGAAACAATTCATAGGTTGAAGTAAGTAATTTTGAACTGTTACAGAATTCCTTCCTGACACATGCATTAACTCAAGCCTATAAAGATCTTCTAGTCCCTAGGCATGAAGTACAGAAAAATATTAAGTAGTATTCCTCATCCCTACAGTATTAACATTAGCTCTGATCTGAACACAGTTTGGCTGAGGAATTCAAGACAACTGTGATTAATCCAAAATGTTTACAACTCACCTTCAGCCGGAAGTGCCAAGATGGACCTACTCCTGCTTTGGCTGCCCTCAGCGTTTTTACTGGAGCATGAGTGGGAACATTGGGACCACGGGGACCACTCGCTGATGACACAGTCTGTTGCACAAGGGACTTCACAAGCCAGAATCTCAGGACGAGGAAGATGCGAGCAGAGATAATGTGGGACTTCTTCACCTGGAGCAAACAAAACAAGAGAGACATGGAGGAAGGCTCAGCATTGTTCAGTGTCCATTGTCACCATCAAACAGACTACGTCAAACATCAGGCTGCTCATGGAGGAATATAACACAGAAGAGCACATGCTAAGCTGCAGGCTTGGAAGTGCAATAATGGAACAACCAACTTCAGTATTTCTTCAGAAAAGCAAAAAAGAAAATAATGTTTCACATTTTGTGTGTGACATCCTGGCTGCAGTCCACTTTACAAAGCAGGTAAGCACAAGGAATGAAACACTTCAATCAACAGAAAGCTGTAATGTCAATTATCAACAGAATTGATGATGATCGCCATACACTTTGCAGCAATCTCCACCTACAGAACTTATTTTCCACAATACAAACCATGCAGGTCCCCACAGAAGGCAGCTTTCTTTTGCCTGTTGTCCAGAGAACTGTCCAGCAGATATTCTGGTCCTTCTCTGCAACCCCATCAGAATGAATCACTATTATTTCTGACTCTGATTCTCACCCAGAAACTATACGATCCAAGACTACAGATCTGCTGGAAAATCCCAATCCAAGGGAGAAATATTTTCTCTTGCTAGATGAACAGACCTGGACCAAAGCCTCCTGATGAGAAGTACCCTTCCAAATCCCCTTTTAACAAGAAGGCAGGACACTGGGGACTGGTGGGTAAAAATCTACCAACCTGGCAGAATGAGCAGCAAAAGAAAAAGCATGTGAGGGATGTCATGCTGAGTCCAACACAGAGAACCACTGTTTTTGCAAAGCAGAATATAATTTTATTTTCAAAATAACAAAGGAAATGGCCAGTAATTTTTGTAATTACATTGAATTTATGAGGACACAAACTCATAAAAATTTGTAAAATGTAACTCTTTCAGTAGAAATTATACTTAATGTCTTACAAATATAATTTAATGACTGACTTTCTTACACTGTTCTATTGCTTAGTGTTTCTGGACCCTGGGTGAATTTTCAGCTACACATCCAAAATTTCTGGAAGCTCAACTCTACCTGTTTATAAACAAAAAGCTCACATTGAATATTACCTCCTCTTTTGCCCTTACAACAGTTACAAAGCTCTCCTTCAAGTTGTCTTTAATTACGAACCTAGGAACAAAGAAAAGGACTATCCAAGCTCAATTATACATAGTGGGGGGGACAAACAGAAAACTAAAAATTGTTTATGGCGACCACTGGCTCTTCATCTCGTGCTACAGGAACAGGCTGAGTGACAAGGTGGCCCAGAATGCAATTATAACTAAGAGGGTAGAAAACTACTGCTTTTGCAAGGCAACACAGGTATAAGTGAGTAGAAAAGAGAGACAGGCTGCCACTGTGCAGAACACTGGCAATAGCACCGTGGCACCCCCTGCAGTTGCATCCCTAAATAAAGACAGGCTGATCGCACTCGAGGCAGAAATAAAACTTTTCAAGCATATTATGAGAAGTAACAGAGACTCTAGTAGGCAATCAGACTGCAAGACAGGTTTAAAAATACTTCATTTTTCTACTCCTTTTCCCTTGTGCTCAGTCTGTGCTCATCAGGAAGGCTCAGTATGCTTAGCCTTGGCACTACTATTTTAAGTCTGCTCAGTGAGAAAAAGGAGACCACATCCTTGTCACAGACAGTCAGTCTCCATCCCTCTGTCCTGCGTTTGGCACCCTGCAAAACCAAGATGAATCCATCATCCCTTTGACTAGTCCATTATCACCACTGCTGCTTTGGACGCTCACATAATGTTGAGAACTATCTTCAGAGAACTACAACATGAAAACCCCAAATAAACCTGTAAGCCATCTTCTAGCTGTCTTCCTGAGACGTTTTAGTGTCAAAATTCCTGCTAACATTTTGACAGCCTGCCTGTACGGTGGCAGATAACAGAAGGGTACTCTGGGCAGGCATGATTTTAGGACTCAACGGTGCAGTAGCGTCAAGAGATTACATGCTCTGGTGAAGCAGGGTAGAACATCTGTCCTCCTCTCCCATCAACGACACAGGGATGCAGGTGAACAGACAGTGACAAACTTCTGAGGGAAACGGGATGAGATGGGATGCCCTGCTCCCCTCTATTCATGAAAGAGCTTATCTCTGCTATATCCAGAGTTTATGTCGAGGGCCATGATGTTCACTAAATTCTGGATTTAGCCCAATTTTCCCACCAATCAGACTATGCCAGACACATAAGCACCAGAGAAAACCCCATTTGCTGAAAGCCAAAGGATCCTTTCCACAGATTTAATTTGACTTTACAAATACCAGGTCACTCCATGCAGAAGATGGCTCAAAACACCTGGGTCTCCTTTGAGGTGGCTTCCTCCGCCCATGAGCCCAGGTGCCACAGATTTTCAAGTCACTACCCAGTGAGGAAAGGAGGGAAAGGAGTACAATGCACTTGCCACCTCTTGCCTCCCTGCTTTCTTCTCACCCTCGATTTACAGCAGGTGACAGCAACAGAAACGCTGCAAACAGAGGCTGCAATTCATGGCTCCTCAGCAAAGAAAGGAAGCTTTGAGTTTAGTTATAAAGAGTTTACCACCCGGTGCATGAAGGTACAATTCAACACTCACTTTGATTTACTTTATAGCTCTATTCACTGTGTTCAGGTTTAATTACTGGCTTGTATTACTGCAGAAGGGGAATGTTCTTCTGTACCAGCTGCCTGGCAGAGAATTTTAAGAAAACTACTGTATACGACAAAAGGAGGTAATAATCTTTCATTTTCCATGAAAAATACAAGTACAGGATATATCTGAAGTGTGCTTCATGGACTGTCACAGATTTGTAGGGAATACTAAATTTTCCAGAGCTTTGAAATTGTTCAACCAGTACCTTGAAGGTGTAATTCTTAACTCAGACATTCTGAATAATCTTTCTAGAGGAGGCTTTCTCCCACTCTAAATAAGACTAACAGCTTGAAGCACCTAAATCATGCATCTGAATGCAATGCAAATTCCAGTCCAAGTACGTGTTCAGATCTCAAGACAATGGCATCTGAAATCAGTCCTGGAGAGCAGCAGGACTGGAGATCACAGCAGAATGGTGCCAGTCTCGAAGAAAGCCACCTTTCCTTCAGGAAAAATAGGGAAGGGGACAGCACTGACCGTGACAGCTCTGAGTTGGGACACTGTTAGAATTTTTAGATGAGCACACACAATGCTCTGAAGTTCATCTTGTGGAAACCAGGAGTTAAACCCCAATGGCAAACCAGGGAACTGGCCCCTCCTGGTCAGAGCCCAGAGCAGCTCCCACGAGATAGGAAGCTGGCTCCTGCTTGCAACGTGCTGTTACATTGGAATAAACTGAGAACACCATTCATCAGTAAAGGCAAAAGGACAGAAGGCGTTTTCAAAGAAAGAAGGGAAGAAAAAAAAAAAAAAAAGGTTCTGTGGGATCCTCCAGTTAGCTTGGAATGGACCCAGCCCATCCAACCCAATCTCCCCCTGGGGTCAAAAGCACTGTATTTGTTGGCTCTCTTCAGACATGATGGACTTGCTCATTTCATCTTTTTTCTTCCCCTTGATACTGTTCAAGTACCCAGAATTAGTCTCAAGGACTAACATTTCCTCTGAAGGGTATTTTTTCTGCTGTGACAGTACAAGTTCACAGCTGCCCCTGAGATGCAGCCACAGGACTGCTCAGGACAGTGACTGACACCGGAACAGCTTCATCCTAACGTTGAGGATACATGAGGGAAAGCTAAGTGGGGGTCAGACTGGGGTGAACCTTGGGAAGTGCTTTATGTCCTTAGAGGAACCAAAAAACAACTACTGCTAATACCCCCAGGTGTATGCCTTTTAACTGTCACCTGTGAAGCACAACACACAAGATTCAACCTCTGATCTAAACCAGGTATTAGAATCAAACTGGCAACTCCAGCATCCCAGGAGCCCCAGTGTTCCCTCTCACAAACTCTTATTTTTTGTTTCTGTTCTCAGCCTTGCTGAACACATGCTTCCCTAAAAAAAAAAAAAAAGGTTAAGAAAAATGTTACAGTGTTCTATTAAAAAAGTTTCATTGCAAAGATTCTAATTACTTTCTTTATGGACTGACTCCTACTTGAACAGTATAGTAATTAAAGCTAAACACACAAGATATATTCAACAGAGAGCATTTTCAATATAGGAAAGACTGAATCAATTTTCTTTCGAATCAGGCTGTAGAAACTGCAAAAGAGATGACAAGCATGGCATTTTTGGAAATGTATTTGCTAATAAAGTTGATCATCACCTAATGTACCAGTCCCTAATTTGGGTTCTTTAACAAGGTAACAAAGAAACTGCATGAAGAAATACAATTCTGAGTGGAGTTTTTGATTTATCTTAAAAGCAAATTAAATTCTTCTCATCAGGAGAAACAGAACAGAACCTTGCTTGAATTAAAGAGCTTATTTTCTCCAGCAACTAAAGTTTTTTCTTATGGTTTTTTTAGATCTCTGAAAAAGAAGCCATTCCCACCACCCTGAGTGATGCTCTCCACAGCAAGGCTCAACAGGAACGTTTCCTTCTAAACCAGTTCAATATTAAACTGCATCTGTCTATTTTACATAATGCCTTGCAGTTCCAGCACATCATTCTCATTCTTCCCTGCAACCTCTGCAGTCATTCTCTACAGCATGGTTTAATTATTCCTGCCCCAGATGTCCCTCCTGGCTCAGGCAAAAGAGAATGTCCACTTGACTGGATACTGCTAAAGCAGCAAAAATACAAATCCCACCAGGCAGAAGGGATCTAAAGATCAACTCAGTAACATACCAAGTATCTTCTTTTTGACATTCATCACTACATCATGTTCATCTCAAAAAGGAAAATTTGAAAAATTACTTGGAAGATCTCAGGTTTGCCCGTGTGTGTGGAGCCTTGATGGACCTCTGTGGTGGGAAAGGGCTCACGGTGAAGGAACTGCATTTCAGACTGCTCTGCATTGCTACCTACAATTCAGAAAAATTATTTTTTGCACAAATGAGTGCTGCAAAATTGCTGCATATTTAA